AGCTGAAGCAGGTTTGTGGGGCAATGTTTAAAAACCTCTGCCTTGGGATATCCCCATAAAAAAATTACAGGGCGTTAGATCAGGTGAGTGTGCTGCCCACGGAATGTCACCTCAAAGCAAGATGAGCCATCCGGGGAACTTCGCCCTCAAAACTGTCATTGAAGCTCGGGCTGTGTGGGCCGTGGCACCATCCTGTTGGAACCAGATATTTCCTAGATGCATTTCTTCAAGAGCTGGTTCGAAAAAGTTTTTAATCATGTCCACATACTGCTGTGAATTGACAGTAACTGCATGACTGTCTTCTTAAAAAAATAAGGGCCAATAACTTGAACTCTCGACAACGCACACCATACTCTCACCTTGTCACTGTGAAGTGGCCTCTCATGGAGCTCTCTGGGATTGTTACCACTGCAATAGTGCATATTCTGCTTGTTGACTTATCTGGATAGGTGAAAATGTGCCTTATCACTAAAGAAAACAAGTGTGTCAGGGGGTAAAGTTACCAATAACGTTTCACACACCATTATTCGGTTCTGGAAATCACGTAGTCACAATTCTTGCACAACAACCATCTTATAGGGATGGAAATTAAGATGTTCGTGAAGAATTTGGTGCATTGAACGATTGGATATGTCTAGGGTGACTTCATATTTGCGAGTGGATCGTCTTGGAGATCTCAAAATCGACCGTCAAACTGCCTCCACATTTTCTGGCGTTGTAACGGTCCGTTGTCGTCCTGATGATTTTTTCACCACTACTGGTTGTCCTAAAGTTCTCTACCCACAAAACAACTGATTTCCGGTTGGGAACTGGACCTCTGGGCTTAATTCCGAAGTGAGTACGGAACACACGCTGCACCGCCACGTAGGAATGGTTGTTCGAAAAACAGGCTTCGACAGCAAACGCACGCTGCTCACTCATCCACCTCACATTTCCTACTGAGGGGTATTAGACAGAAACTTCCGTGACTGCCGTGTTCAACAAGCCTATCCCCACTTTTCGTCGACCTTCCCTCCCATCACAATGCATCTTCACAAAAAGGAAGTTTCTGCGCCCCACTCTGTATATGGTGACAAACAAGTAAATAGAAAATTTCTGAAAACTATCCTTTAATTATCCATGAAAGGGGGGAAAAAAAACTGAAGGAAAAATATGCACTGGAGAACATTAACATAATTTCAAAGCTGTTTCTTGTAAAATTACCTCAAAATCATCTTTCTTGCTCTCTTGTTTAATTATTTTCTTCAATTTTTTCTTATGCTTCTTCTTGCCTTCTTCTTCTTGTTCTTGAATAGACTTGAGACTGAAATGATTCTTTTCGGTACCATCATTCATCAGCAGCAATTCCAATTCAGCCTGGGGAAAAATATCATAACAAAACTGGAAAATAACCAATCTTCATTGTCTTGTATGTGAGTGAAGAGCAACTACACATCAAAAAATTCCATACAATAAAACTACAAACCTTTTTGGATTTCACATACTACTTGAATCTAATTACAGTATCCTTCAGTTCATTCATTAAAGTGTCAATTCTAAAGGGTTCTGACAAAGGTGTGCAGCACTCAGCTTAATGAGTTGTCAGATACAATGCACGCAGCCACAAGAGTAGAACACATCATAATACATAATATACACAAAACATTAGAAACATAAGAAGAATGACTCCCATGTGGATGATCAATAATACACACAAATTTAAAATATGATGTGTGAGATAAAAGGCTTTAACAAGTTTTAAATACATAAACATTATTATTATATAAGGACGTATACAAATTTAATATTATTTGTAAATGGACATATAAAGTCAAGCAGTGAAATAGTTGATGGATCGATACACCTGAAGATGGCAGCATACTGCCGAAACATATAGTGTAGAAGTGGTAGATGGGATTGTATGCACTTGAAGACTGTTAATACATAAACATTATGAATCAAAAACAAGTCTATAGTCATTTGTACTTCTTTTGGCTTATTTTGGACNCAGTGCAATGGTTTAACATGATTAATACACCTGAGGATGGCAGAATGATGCCAAAACATGTAGTGTGAAGTGACAAGTGAAATTGTATGCGCTAAAAGACGGTTAATATATACACATTATGGGTAAAAAAGTTTGTATGAAATTGTCATGATCTTAGAGTGACTAGAGACTTGTTTTAGATTCATAATGTGTATGTATTAACAGTCTTCAAGTGCATACAATCCCATCTACCACTTCTACACTATATGTTTCGGCAGTATGCTGCCATCTTCAGGTGTATCGATCCATCAACTATTTCACTGCTTGACTTTATATGTCCATTTACAAATAATATTAAATTTGTATACGTCCTTATATAATAATAATGTTTATGTATTTAAAACTTGTTAAAGCCTATTATCTCACATGTCATATTTTAAATTCGTGTGTAGTATTGATCATCCACATGGGAGCCGTCCTTCTTATGTTTTAATTGTGTACATACTGTGTCTTATCATGTCTTTCTTATGTGGATGCGTGCCACATAAGAAAGACACATCATAAGACACAGTATGTACACAATTAAAACATAAGGACGACTCCCACGGCAGATGAATGACATTACACATGAGTCTGATATGCGACATGTAAGATGATAGATCTTAACAAGTTCTAACATATAAATTTTATCATTGAACAATGACGAAGGACACTTGATGGCAGGCAGTGCAATGGTTTAACATGATTAATACACCTGAGGATGGCAGAATGATGCTGAAACATGTGGTGTGAAGTGACAATTGAAATTGTATGCACTAAAAGACGGTTAATATGGATACGAATCAGTGCAACAGGTCACTAAAATACAACAAATTTTTTTACTTAATTTTATGTCCAGATGATGATGTCCTGTAAAATATGGCATGTAATAATGAGACATCCTGTGTAAACACATCCATCCACCTCACAATCCAGCAATAGTATCACCTACCAATATCCAATACAATGAGGTAGAAGGCCGAATATTTTCTGATACATGAATCAAATAGTTAAAATGTAACAGGGCAAGATTAACAGAAAATATAATATTAATTAATTATTAATGTTTCAAAATATAAATTAACAATAAAAGAACTGGATGAAAAAGTAAATGAAAAAATACAACACAACTTTACGTAAAACAGCTCCGGCTCCATCCATACCCAACCACTGCAAATTCCAATTTGATATGTTGGACTTGCCAACTGTGGCACTCCAAGAAATAAAGCATGGCTGGGACCCAAACAATATCAAATAAAAATTATGTAGTTTTCTAACTGTCTAAACTGCTCCCCTTTACCATTCCATATGGACCTGCTTCAAAGGATTGTCAACAAATTCCATCTGCTATACATCTCGCTAGTGACAGCAGTATGGTTGGTGAAAAATATTTCACACAATCAATACTCAAACAGCAGGTTCTGTGATCCTTTCAGGCCATATTTTCATAATGCTTATCAAACTTTCTTCAATTTTATTCAAGATATGAAGAAAAAAAACCAGTTCATAACAGTAATTGAAATTACATGGTTTGGTGTTATTTAAACAGAACAGCAGAGAGCCACAGTGGTATCTAAACGGGACCACAAAGGGTTACTGTAAAAATATGCAGCTAAAAACGGAAAATGGTAAGATATTGAATATAATCTATTATTACTGTATGAGAAGTTGTGTGAGACTGCGTATATACATGAGAATGCACGCGCACACACTCTCTTCAAAAATAATTCCAATGAAGAGGGTCATGATCAGAAGTTTGTTAAACATTGTCTTAAATCAGAAAAATATGCTCTTTCAGATGTAATTACATAACACAAGCAAGCAATATTTTTTTTCTTGGTAAAAAGAACTGGAAAAACTTTCCAAACTATAACACTCTCTTCTTTAATTAGGCCTTCCTGCAAAGTCCTAGTTCATATCCAATTTGGACCCAAATCATATTTTACCAGTAAACTCTAGTATGCACTCCAGTCATCCTACAGTGACATTCATACACTTTGACACACTCATGGGATTAACTTTTCACACATTATGAAACCACAAATATATTTTACTTTCACCAGACACATACCGCTTTCTGTTTAGTTTGTTCATCTTCTGAAGAAGAAACCACCTTTTTCTTGCTGTTGTTTCTCTTTCTAAAGTCTCCTTGGAATTCTTCCTTGAAATACGGATCATTCAGATCAATGTCAGATGGAATATCATCATCACTATATTCATTTCCTGAAGCCCCATTTGTCTGGAACAGTTATAAATAAGTTGAGGGAAAACATTATGGATCCTACTTTCTTTCCAGTGCTCCTGTCAATATGATGAAGCCAGCAAGAACTGTAAGTTCATAATTATAATCCATTCTCATGTATATAACAAGTACGGTGAAATTCCAGTTATCTGGTATCCAAGAATTCAGAATTTGCATGCAACCAGCAAAAATTTCAAAGAAATTGTTCCACTTTCATAAAGTTACTCTAAAAATAAAGTTGCAATGCACATATGTTTATCCACTTTGCAATAGTTCTCCCAACCACCATTAGCGGTGCTACTCATCACTGTCTATCATGCAAATGTCATTACAGTCATAGTGATCTGTGATTACAGAAGAGGCTAGTTAAATTTGTGTTCGCCTCACAATATATTCAAAACCTGTCAACCCATTATGTCACATATGAAGATTCTGGGATATGGCACCGTGTAGATGTGCTGTTAACTGATGTTTCGGAGAAATGTATCACCTCCATCTTCAGGGTAGAAGGAAAAATAAGAAAATCCGCAAGAGAAGAGACAGTGAGAGCAGGTGCAAGCAGACTAATGTCAGAAATAGACATTTTTCTTATTTTCTTATTTTTTAACTGAATCTTCTATCCTGAAGATGGAGGCAATACATTCCTCTGAAACGTTGGTTAACACCACATCTACACAGTGCATCCCAGAAGACTGCTTTCTTCATAGTCACCGCTGTGGAAACCTCAAATCTTATACAGGGTTTCTGTAAGTTTTACTCTTGCTGCCAGCAAATTCATGCAACTCAACATTCCATTCCTTATACGAGTACATGATGGTTAATGGGGAATTTATTGTATGTAACCACTGACTTGCAACTGAAGAAATATTTAGGCAGTCCACAATAAAGTAAGGGTGAGGGCACACCAAAGAAACTGGCAACCATAACACAACTGCAATTTCCAAGAATTGCTATCAGCCTGAGTTGAACATACGTTACTGAATAGAGCAGCGCAAATTCAGGAAACTGCACAGTGGTTCATAGTAGTAGAACATAGCAGTTCTAGCTTCACATACAGCTTTACCATTACCCATTACATCTGTTTCGGTAATATGTATCACTAATAATTTACAAAGTTTTGCAGTATATTGTACACATTCTTTATGTTGTAAACTTTCTACTTTATTATTTCATGCTTCATTTGCTAACCTATACCACTGAACAAAAGCTGATTTCCTCTATTGGAAAGATATCTATCTGTCTTACTGTTTAGGGACCAGTCAGCAGTAATTTCAGGGTAGAATGCAGCATGGAGGAAGGTCAGTTTCAGAATGTTAGTCACCTTTTCTACAGGGTGAATCATATAGAACTGGCCCGACGCATTTGCTAATAATTCCGCAGGTGATACATATAACTGCTCACAATTACGACATAATAATCCGTGGGCCGTGCTGAATCGAATGGTGTGCGCATGATCTGGCAAGTGGCAGCCCTTATGCTGCAAAGTCGAGGACAATGCCAAAACGTGTCTGCAGTGGGCAGGCGACAGTCATGGAGTACACTGTTGAACAGCGAGTGTTTCTAATGCCTACTTGAAAACG